GTTTTTTTATATAAAAGTTTTTTTTTTGTCAATTTTAACGTTTTATTTAGATTACAAAAATAAATCGTAATAAAAATAATCCTATTCATGATGTTTTAAAAATTAAGACCTACAAAAGAGTGATTTAAGAGATTTTAATACCAATTAAGGCCTTAGTTTTATTTTGAAGAATTCAATGCCTTTTAAGACTTTTTAAGGACCCGCGGGAACCCTGATCTGGTTCTCAACAGGTCTATGAATGCACTTGTTGAGGTAAATTTAATGAAGAAGTAGAAATACAGACGCTATAATCCAGAAAGGATCTTCAAGAAACTCATAAACTAGGAGATGCTGGGGTGGGGTGATCGAAGTTATGAAGGGAATCCAGCAATGAGGAACAGCACAGGAGGTGGTTATATGGGCGATAGAACAAAGAATGGGATAATCAGCTAATGGGGGCAGGTGTGGATAGAAGCAACTAGAAGGGACCTGGGGAAAAGGAGACTGGCACAAGGGGGCAACAGAGAGTAACTAAAAAAAAACTGCTTAAATATAACTAGAAAACAACAAGAATGACACAAAATGGAAATGAAACCAATGATCCAGAAAACACAGAGTGATATAAATCAAAGTGTAAATGAAAAGTGTAAACAAAAATCAAAAAGAAAACTTAAACAGAACCAACAGGTCCAGAAAGGGCAACCCCTCCAGAATCTTGCGGTTTGTTGTTCCTATTGAAATATACTTTACAACCTCCAGAGCCAGCAGTTCACCTCCAAAACAGAGAATGTAAGCACTGAGACTCTCAGGTGAAATGTTCTTACCAACTAGATTTTTTAGTTGTAAATATATTATCATTAAACTGACCACAACACTATAGTCATTATTCAATGGCTTCAATAAAAATGCGAAAGTTGAACAGAACGTTGAAATTTACGATCTTTTCAGATCTTATGCTCTATAGTAGTGTTTCCCAACCTTTTTTGACTTGTATTCCCCTTTGGTTAGTTTTTCTTACCATGAGTCCCCCTCTTAGCCAAAAGTATTGATGACTGTCTAAAAGAAGAACGTACAATACCTGATTATAAAATAAAAACAATTTTACATAATCTTTGAATTTGAGCATTTGTCAGGCATTTTATTGTTTCCTTCTCAATTTAAAATCAACATAAAAATATTGCCAGGAAGTTAAGAAAGGAATCAAAATAAAAAACAATTGAAATCATATTATGAGTAACTGACTTATAATCACATTTAAACTGAATTGGGAACAAAATCCAGAACAAAAATTATAGACAGACTGCTTAAATGAGCTCTGATAGCTCAGAGTTAGTTTTTTTATATAATTTTTTAGAAACTTTAAAATTTAAAGGGTCCAAAAAGCCACATGTGGCTCCGGAGCTGCAGGTTGTAGACTCCTGGAGTAAACTGACCCTAAACTGGTTTTAGCCTCGGTGTACGTTGGTCCCTGCTTGGCCACCTCTAGGCTAATGTTTATGGCTCTGCCACTGAGTATTGGTGCTGACTTAAAAGCAAAGAGACTGAGAAGCTACATGGAGGTTGGTGCTTTTCTTCCAAATAGGAAAATTAAATGTTTACTAATAACTGCTAACATTGTCCTGCCAGGTAACTGGCTAGCAACAAGCACAATTAAACAAGTGACCCACTTACTGGCAAATGTGATTATACCCCTTTAAAATATTGCTAAACAACGACTTCAGACTGGATTTTTTTTTTATGTTTTTGTTTCTAAACAAAATAAAATTTGCATAATTATTTAATGCAGTCTCAGTTTAAATACAGATGTTGTGTGAAGGCATCAGATGTTAATCATAGGATTTCAATGAATTGCTGGC